TTTTTTTTTTTTTTTTAATTTCATTTATTGAATAAAGTGAGTTAAGATTGAAAAACGTTAATTGAGTGAAAATTTGGATTTGATTTTGAGGTTGTGAATGGATGAAGTAAAATGTAATGATTAAAGTTGAAGTAATGTAAAATAATTGTATATGATTGGTAGTAAAAAATGTGAGCATAGTGATTTTTGTTGAAAATTGTGTAGTAATGATTGGTTGATATTATTTAATTATATTGATAATATTGAGCAGAGTTGATTTAAATTGTGAAGATTGGATTTTGAGTTAAAAATTTATATCCAATCTAGTTCCGTCCCAAAAAAAAAAAAAAAAATATCAATTCAATCAGTCAAAACCAGATTTTTTATTTTTCAATTGCATAACACGCCAAAACTGTCATTTCTCATTTATTTATATTTTGTGTGCCAAAAGCTACCAACCATTTTTAATGTGTGTCCAAGAACTCTTGTGGATGCTAATATCAATAAACATGGAAAACAAGTTGCAAACTCGGATATGAGAAACAAGACACTATAATGCACAGTTATGGAACTGCGAGTCTCGCTCGCAGATTAAAAGCACAAATTTAAACTAAAAGGCAAAAAATACTTCAGGATACCTCTAATTGAATTTGAAACCCCCAGATGGAACCGGAAGTGCACCATCTCCAAAGTTGAAGCCAGATTGTTGAGCTCCTTCAGAAGACACCAACTGCTCATCGTCTTCTTCCAACCAATATGTTTCAAGTATCTTAACTGCCTTCTCATAAATCTCGTTGTTATCATGAGACTGGAGGTTTTCAATCTTTTCCAGACCTTCTGCATCGTCAATCATCTGTGCAAAGATATTCACATCCCCCGTATTACCTTGATTCTTCTCGGCTTCTCCAACCTTTAGGATGTTTTCAAGACCTTCCAAGCTGACTGTGATAATTCTTGGATCGGGACAAACCAGTAGGTCACACAAGGGCTTTATGCATCCCTCATGCACCAAAACCCTGAAAGAGGTTGATGACTTTTTGTTAAATAGTTCGACTTTCTTACAAAGGAAAAATTTTGAGTGAAATTTAGAATGGGCAGTTTATTCTTCTTGCGTGAAATATACTTTTCAAAATTGTAGGTTAGAATATTGTTCTACTTTGTGGCTTCTTATCGGGCGCTTAAATTTTCAAAATTATAGGTAAAAAATATTGTTCAAATTTTTTAAAGTCTATGTGTGATATTTTCTTGGAAACAACTAAATATTAATAAATCTAAATAAAAATGCAAATATGTTTAAAAATTGATGTGTATTTCTAAAATTTGAAATTAGCCATTTACATCAATATTCCAAACCAAATATTTTTATTATTTTAAAATAATCGTTATAATGTTTTAAAGGTCGTGTTTCTCCTTTCTCATTAAAAAATAAAATAATAGGAGAAAATAAATTACAAAGAGTTAAATAATGATAAATGCTAATTTTCACGGTGAAAATTGTGATATAAGTTGATATAAAAAATATTTATTGTACAAAAAATTGTATTTTAAAGTTTAGTCAGGTAACCACTATTAAAATACATGACTATAGAGTGGTACAACTAAATAAGTGCGTGACATAGAGAGGTACGATTAAACTATAAACCAATTAAAATTACTTAATGCACTTATTACACAATTTGTGATATATATATATATATATATATAATATATATATATATATATATATAGATATAGATATGTACATATATTTCAGTTTATTCTTAGCATGCACGTTACATAAAATTAATATACAACCTTTATAAAGTTAATACATATCATCAAATAAAAGCATATAATATTTTAGACAAATATGTGACTTTACACAATATATATAAGAAAAAAAAAAAGAATTTACTTAAAAAATAAGAGAGAACATTTATTTTAGATTATTTTAATTATAACATCTATTTAAAAAAATTAGTAAATGATAAAAAAATATATTACCATTCTTTCCTAATAATAGTTTATTTTTGATAAATTATAAAAGATAATTATAACTAATATACAATTAGTTTGAATTAATTGTTGAAAATTACAGTTTTAATTTTTTGTTGAAATCATAGTTTTAATTGATTTAATTTACATATCATGATTATTTAATCAGGTAACTTAGCAAAAAAATGTACAAAACAATTTTACTAATTATATAATGATAAATAAGATGCAAACAAACAAAAAAAAATTGTTCGAATATATTTTAAAACTTTATTAGGCTATAATTAAGTAGTAACATATGTCGTTTTTCACTTAATTTGATAGCAAACATTGTTTTATTATGCTTAATATTAACAGGACGATGTTATTTCTGTAAATATATAGATTTTTTAATTTATGCATTTTCATAATCAACTTAATAAATAAAAAAATTATTAAATATTCTTTCTAAAAAATATACACAATAGATCAATTTATTTATTCGTATTATTTAATGATATATAAAAATTATCACATTTCACTAATTCTTTTCGAGAGTTGTGAACTGATTAGTACTGTTGTTTACATACTTATTTTTTTTAAAAAAGAAATGATCATGTGTTTTGATTTTCTTTATTTAACTAAAAATCATAATTTAAAAATATTTATGTTTGATTTATTTAACTTAAATACTATAATTTTCTAATTATCATTTAATTTAAATAATACTTAAAATCGCTTACCAATATTTCCAATGTAACGACGGTAAAAATTTTACAAAAAAATAAATACTACTCATTTAGCAATTATACTAGTTGACTTTCTGCCCCAAATTATGCCTCCGATAAAGATTTCCCATTCCAAACATAATTTTGGTTTCTTTAGATAATTCTGAGAAAAAGAAAATGTATAGACCCTGATGATTGTTTCTCAATATTTAATTAATAAAATTAATTTCAATATTAACAGTATATTTATTTTATAAAATTGTTTTAATATTTTGTTCTCACATTATAATCATAATAAAATTATTTTTAATATTGCTATCACGTGCGATGCACGGGTGCGTACTAGTTTACCATAATTAGGAGGACAAAGAAAAAGGACAAATGAAAACGGTGGCAGCAGATTAGTTATTATACTTGATTTGGTCATGAGTTCCACCAGAAGTGGCATTTGAAATAGCCCATGCAGCTTCTTTCTTTATCTCAAATTCAGCATTCTGAAGCAGATGAACAAGAGGGGAGATTAATCCAGCCTCGATCACAGCCTGTTCGTTGAAATGAAAAAGCCTGAGTATTTATGTGAACTTAAAAAAAATAGATAAGAAGTCTTTACGAACATAAATAACAATGCTATGCATTGGAAAATGCTCCACAAGAATAAAAAATTGAATAAGGGATGCAAATGATCTATATAAACGAAACATGAATCGGGAAATTGGTTAGTTTAGAAACCAATACATAACAACTCCACCGTACTCTGCATACCTGAATCTGCTCTTTATTTCCTGCAGTGATGTTTGAGATGGTCCAGCAAGCTTCCTTCTTGATGCTTTTCTTGTGATTTTGGATCAACAAGTTAAGCAAGCGTGGGAGAGCTTGGTGATTGATGATTACCTAAATATCATGAGAACAAATAGCGTGGAGTGCTCATTCCAAAAAAACAAATGAATAAATAGGTACAATATATGCAATAACAAACAGGACACAACACATTTACACAAAATATGATACCTAGAAGGGCTTTAAAAATGTGTATCAGATAAACCATGAAGAAGATGAAATATCTTTATGAAATCTGTCATGTCATAACCACATAAGACCACATTTATGAATCTCTATACCTTTCTATATGTTTTTATTACCAGAGATGTATTATTACATAGAAGGCATAAGTAAAAATACAAAACTATTCATATAATCAAGATTCAATGTCTGGCCATTTATATAGATCACATAAGTTTCTAATGGAGATTGAAATATAAGAATCTAGCCAAATACCTGAGTCTGGAGATCATCACCAGTCACAATATTACCAACTGTGCGCAGGGCCGGAATCAAAACAGATGCAGAAGGATGACTACAAAATCCAAAAGGGAAAAAAAAAAAAAAAAAGTTACAGTCAGAAGAGAGTATGAAGTGTTCGGAATTCAAAGGATTGCTATCCATAAGCATGGCTTTTACTTTAGGAACAAATCACATAATTCTATAACTTACAGTAAAAGTTCAATCAGACGAGGGCACACACCAGCCTCAATCACAGCCTGGATTTTATCATTAGTGCCATCAGATAGATAGGAAAGCGCCCAGCAAGCATCTGTAAGGACTTCTTCATCATTCGTATGAATGAGATGAGCAATAGCAGCCAAGGCTGGTTTGACCTGCTCAGAGGGATTCCAAATAAGATAGGCCGATGTTAATGACGGAGGCCAGACCAAGAAATCACAATAAAGCATCACGACAAACTGAAACACAAATGCAATACAAACCTGCTCAAACTGAGGCTGCGGCTTTCCTCTACAAAAATTTGATAACGTCCACGTTGCATTTCGCAACATGGACAATTTTGCCTGATCATTAAATTGAGATAACAAAGGCATTAAAGCCCCATAATGAAGGACGAGGTCACGGCACTTTGGTGAGTCACCAGCAACATTTCCTAAAGCCCACACTGCCTGCACATGAGCTTAATATTTTTAGAATGGAGAAGCAAAGCAACCAAATCCATCAATAAAACCTTTCACAACCTACCTGCTCGCGCACATCATCACTCGGAGAACTGAGAAGCCGAACAAAAATTGGAACAGCGCCTTGATCGATCACAACCTTGGTATTTTCAGAAGTTCCAGAAGCAATGTTCGTGAGTGCCCAAGCCGCCTCAAACTGGTAATTGGAAAATATTCGACATGTAAGGACACATTAAAATATAACAACAGCAATAGCCTACAGAGCTAGCCAGAAATTGATACCTGAAGCTGAGGGTAATCGTCTCTCCCAAGAAACTCAACAAAACGAGGAACAACTCCAGATTGTATAACTTCCTCAATAGGTGGATTCCTCTCTGTCGAAATACAATGACCACAAGACCCCAATCATCAGAAGCCCAAGAAACGAAAAAATCTCAACCAAAAATATTTACGCAGTACAAATCCCAGTAAGTTAAATTCATAAATACAAATGACAACTAACTACCTATTGAAAGAAGTTTACGGAACTGAGTTGTCGCCTCTAGCTGCAGAGCAGCATCATCAGACCAAACCCCAGCAACCATTGCAGGAAGGCTTTCCAACTGAAAAAGAACATCAAATAGAGTACATTCAGTCCAAAGGGCTAAGATCAATAGGAAAAACCACAGAGTGCCGCAGCAGATCAGAAGGATCAATCCAAATGACAAAAACCATCATCAGATCAGATCTAAATTATGCAAAAAAAAATTCCACTAAACCTACCGATGTTACCAAAAGACTGAAAAACAACGCAATCGGCTACTAGATTGTACCTTCTTATCGGGCAGAGGAACATTGGCTGCGGCCTGAAACTGTTGAGCTTGGAGCCCCTCGCGTCGCTTCTTAAGCAAGTTCTCCTCTCGCTTATTCTTCCGGATCTCCACCATATTATCCTCCCTACGCCGGCGTCCCTCATCCGCATCCACCGCCACCTTGTACCGGCTCCGGCGGACCTCCGTCCTCGAATTCGGCCTCAACGACATCGTTCAGTGGATCAACTCAAAGAGAAGTGAAGAAAAAACAAGCCAAAAAAACAGATCTTTCGTACGCGATAAACGATAATTGTGTGTGCTCGTGTCGTTTAGCAAATACGGCCCTTTTTTTTTTCAGGTTAGAGAGAAGGATTTTGAGGGAACAGTGTCAGAGGATTTTTTTGGGAATGGAGGCCGCCGATGATTGTAGAGCGGTGCCCACTTTTCTGATACTCATTTGGGCACGGTTTATTGGGTTAATAACTATTATGCCACTATATTCAAATTTGCGACTGTACCATTGAATAAAGTAACAATTTATAAAGTTTGGAAAAAGTAGATATATTTTATGTAATTGTTACTTGTTTTTGTAGATTTGTTAATCTTTGTAATTTTTTGTCAAATATTATCATCATGTCATAATAAAAATCTAAATTTGTAATTTCATGTAAATAAATATACCTTGTTATATCCATTTTACATTTTGTATTTCCCATTCTATATTAAAATATATTTTTCTTGTACTCATTTTATTTTAGCTTGTTGTCTAGCTCTGGTACCATTTTTATATTATCGTTTTAGGCGGTCCTATTTTATGTAATTTCTTAGATTTTTGTTTATGTCGTTATATATCATAATCTAGCTGTTTTAATTTTTGTTCATTTCTTTCTATATATTTATATTGAATTGATTTTTCTATTAAATAATCTATCTCTTTGATTTCTTTTCTAAACAATTCAGCTAGTTCAAGATTTATATCTTTCCTATCCATTTTATTAAATTCTTCTATTGCTTACTAAGAAATTCTTCTGCTAAATTGATACAAATCTTGAAATAACTTATTTCTGCTTCTCGAGCTCCAAAATTTTCAACTTCAAGAGCATATTTTATTCGATTTATGTTAGAAGAAAGTTGTATACTTTCTTGTTCCGAAAGTCTTTCAGAATTTCGTTTTTTCAATAGATTTTCTAAAGTTTTTTGAAGAATAATACTCCAAGGAATCGCAGGCATAATTTTTCTTTGTTTGTAAACTAGGTATTCATAAATTCAGTGAGAAAGTTGGTCATATTTTTGTCTGTTTTTTCTTCTAATTTTAAAATTCTAGATTCTATTTTTGATCATTTTTCTAACACTAATTCTAAACTAGGATTTTCTTTTTGTCTTCTTTCTGCTTTTCGTAAGCAATCTAATAGTCCTTGAATATTTTCTAAAATTTTTGATTTATATTGACTATAGTCATATTCATTAATTTTATTTCTAAATTCTTGTAAATCGACTAACAATGAATTTAATTCTTGTAAACTAGTTTCTCTTTTTGCATGATATTTCTTTTTGTAGGTTTTATAAGATCCTCTTATATATCCTAGTGTATTGGACGATTCCATTTAAATTCTTTTATTTAGACTTATTACTAAATTACTTAAGTCATTTACTTGTTTATTTAATACTCTAATTTCATTTTCTTCTTCATGTATATTTTTAATACTGAATGGTTTTTCTATTTCGTTTCTTTCAACTAAATCATTACTATATGAGTGTCTTCCTAATGTTAATGGTGCTTTACTAATCATTCTCATACTATGTTGTCTTAAAAAATCTTTTTGAATGCTATCATTTTTTATAATTGTACTTGTTTCATTAAATATTTTTTTCCGTATATATTCTGTCCTGATTTTGATAATGCATACTTAAACTACTATTACTTAATGCATATGAAATTCTATAACAAACTACCATAGGTATGTCTCCTGATTCCATTAACGTTTTTTCTTGAAAATTACATATTATTCCTAAACAGTTATTTATTTTCTTAGTTACTAATGGTATAGGAAATTGTAATGATACATTAAATTTAATCACTCCATATCCGAGATCTCCTTCTATTTCTCCTAATTTTCTTGATTCTTTATGCATGATTCTTGTCTTCAACTATAATGTTTACAGGTGTTTTGATTCCTTCTCTAAATGTTGATTTTAATATGATTTGAATTGTGTTTATATGTATATATCCTATTTTCTTTCTCTCTTCTTCTTTTATTTTTTCTAATCTTTTTTCTATCTGACTAATTTCTACAAGAGGTGCTTGAAACTTATAGTTAGCTTGCTCTATTTTTATAGGTTGTTCTCCATTCATAATTCCATACACTATTGTATTTTTTCTAATTAATTTGTTTAACAAGCTATATTTATTCCTTCTCTTTTATCTATATCTAAATTTCCTTTATTTTTTACTTTCGTTACTAGCTTTTTATCTAGTAATATATCTAATAAGTAGGTTCCTTTTTCTTCTATATGTTCTATAGTTTGATACTCGGTTTCCATTTTTATTATCTAACTATGAATAACCTTCCAAAAACTTGTTTTCTAAGTTTTAAATGAAAGCAAGAGTAAATACAAAATGATACCGTTGATTTTCTCCTTATTTCCAACACAACTGGGACTCGATCCTTTTGGCATGCAGCGCCTCCGATCCTTCAACCAGTTATTCAGTGCTCCAGGAAATGCTTGAGAATATCTTATGTATATTATTTCACTCTTTATTTTACTCTTACTTCTAACTCTTTAGCTGCTCATGAGTATTGAAACACACATATTTGAAACACACATATTTTTATTTATTCAGAATTGTCGTCCTTACAAATGAAATGGCCGGTCTTATTTATTGGCAGAGCATATCATACCCTTTGTCTTTATGACGTAAGGGCTTACGTTCACTCGTCCATTATTGCGTTTTCTTCTTCTTGTACTAGTTGCAGATCTTCTCCAACTGCTTCTGGGTTACATTCTTCACATACATGGTCTTCACTGAACTCCTTTTGCAGTCTTGTACATATTTTTCTTTTTAATTCCTTGGGTATATCAAACTGAATATTAATCAACTCATCTAAGTACTTGTTTAGTGATTGAATATCTGTCTCTGTTGGGTTTGTTGCTTGCATGCTCCATATCACAATTGATTTGGAAGTATAATTGATTCTTCCCTTTATTCGGATACCTTTGTTAAGAATCATAACATAGTTATTTAAAAACTGTGTTATTTCATCTTCATGGTGTGCTTGACCAATATCTGGATAATTATTGTTGCTGACTCCTATTTGACATAATTGTATTGCGGTTTGTATGACTTCTCCCCCCTCTGCAAAGACTGGAGTTGTGGCGAAAATCTTAAAAAAGCCTTCCTTCTTTCCTAATTTCTTTGATGCATACTGACTCCTGGCTCTTCGTATGTTTGAGGAAAAGTATTGAAAAATGTCTGTTCCCCGAAAATATATACAACTGACTAATCCAGATTGAAACAACATATATGCTTTTAACGGGTTTGCTTCAGGAAGTATAATTACTTTTGGTCCTTGATAGATTCCTTCAATTGGATATATACTTGTTTTCTTGTCTGTTTCTGTATAATTAACTACAAACTTGAATTCATGATTGAATCTTGTTTGAGTTATTTTGTTAACTCCTCTTTTTGTTGTTTACTTTGTATATTACCAATTGTTAATGGCCTTAGTGTAGGAATTGATCCTATCACTTGCATCTGTTTTTGTGGTGCCGTAACTGGCATTTTTGCTTTTCTTGCATATGTATTTTGAATTTTTTTTAGAGCCTGTTGTGCTTCAAACATACTAGAAAATTTCTGATGTATAATATTCTTGTTACCTATGGTGTGAACTGCAACTTCACTCCACTGTGTATATATTCCTCTGTTTTCTCCTGTGAAGATCACATAATGCGTTTTAGGTTTTTCTTCTTCGTCGAATGCTTTTTCTAATTGCTTCGAAAATCTAATGGATTCTTCTTTCTTTTCATTTTTTGTCTCTGTTGGAAACATGACATTTCTTATTGCTTTAATCTCGTTTTCTACTTGCATGAGTTGTTTTCTTAACTCTTCTGCTTGCTTTTCCAGTTTTTGCATGCTTTCCATTAGTAATGGTTTAAGTGCTTCCATTCTCTTGTTAATGTATCTGCAAGAAAATTTTCGTTACTGGAAATATAAAGCGAAATATAATCATATTGTTGTGCCTTTAAACTCCATCTTAAAAGTCGTCCTTTGTTATAAGATTCTTTTATCTTATATTTTGTAAAATCTTTTGTATAGAGACTATCGGTTTGAAAAACAAATTTAACTGGTTTCAAATCTAATTTAAATTTTTCCAAAGCATTGATAAAAGCTAATGTTTCTTTTTCATGTGTTGTGTAATTACGTTCTGCTGATTTAAATGTTCCTGAGACCCATTTGGATAATAATAAGTCGTTACCTTCCTTTGTTTTATTTCGTAAAAATGTTTTTACTTCAGATGGTTTATTGTTTGTGATAAACTGTTTAAATTCTTCGTATATATCTGGAATTGCTTGAAGGATTACTCCCCAAGTATCCTGACTTGCGTCGGTATTTAAAATAAGTAAATCATTAGGTTTAGGTAAGTAAATTTGTGGTAGATGAGTACATAATCTTTTTAGAGATTGTACTGCTCTAGTTGCATCATTTGTCCATTTCCATGGTGTTTTTTTAGAAATCATTTTTTGCAATAATTCTCTTTCTTTTGCTAAACTTTTTATAAAACCTTTTTCTCCTATGTAAGTAAGACATCCGAGAAATTTTTGTATTTGATTTCTATTTTCAAGCTGATCCGGAAACTGGTTTATTTTTTCAAGTAAATGTTTTTGTGGTTCTATATAACCTCCTTCAACTATTTTCATTCCTAAAAATTCAGTTTCTGTTTTACAAATCTTTGCTTTTTCTTTACTTAAAATAATTCCTTTGTTACCTAATTGTATAAGGACTTTTGCAAGTTCTTTAAAATGTTCTTCTTTGTCCCTTGTGTAAAAATAATTATATCATCTATGTAAGCAAGACTTATTGATTCTAATCCTTTAAGATTATTATTCATAAATCTTTGATAAATACTTGGTGCTTGTTTTAATCCAAAGGGCATAACATTATATTCATAATGATTTTGAGGTGGACAACTAAATGTTGTTAATGGTTTAGTTTCTTCATGTAATCGTAACTG